TAAGGGTAATGTGTCCAACTACAACTAAAAAATAAATATTAAAAAAAGAATATCATGAAGAGATTGCAAATTTGACCAGCTATCTTTTAAGATCCTTTTTATTACAGATATTCTTCTGAAGATTTTCTTTACCTTACTTTTTAATATATAAGATTTTACTTAGCATCATCCTGTAGGCATTGGAAAAAGCAGGAAAATTCTAATTTTATCTCCCTCTGTTAGTTGTATGACCTTAACCCATTTTCTTAATATTTCTAGGCCTCAGTTCAATGTATTGAATACATTCACTATATATTCATCATTTTCCATGCAATTATAACATTTTTTTGATATTCTGTATTGTGTATTACTTGTGGCAAAGTTATCTGTTATGATGCTATAGTTCTGAAATTTGAATTTTAATGTATAGCATATGTTTCTTGATTTTGCATATTTAAATTATTTGTGGATTTTTACAAGTAGATATAATTTATTCTGCCTGATCCCACTCACCTCCCACATTTTATAGATGGAGAAACAAGGCCATTTTTGGATAAGTGACATAGTGGCCACTTATATAGTAAGGGGAGGAGATATATCTGTAACCTAAGTGCTGCTTACGAAAGTCAAGGCTTTTACTCATACTTTACATTAGCTGTCCTCTGTGTGTGAATTTTCTAGTTTTTCTGTATCACATAATGTATTTCTGGATTACTTTCCCTTATCATCAAGGGAACATACTTGTTCACGTGGAATGCTAATTTTAATATTGGCTTAAGTAAAAAAAGATATATGAAGGAGAAAAAAAATGTCACCAGAGACAGAGAAGGATGATATTTCTATTCTTTGCCTTTGCTTTTCTCACTTAGTATTAGTAATTAGTATTTGATTATGTTGTATTCTTTCCGAGTAAACCTTAGCAGACAACATAGAAACACATTAATTTTCATGTTTGTTACTGTTGACCTTTGTATCCCTGAGCTCTACAATGCTTCCATAAACATTATAATTTCTAGGCTAAAGTTCTTGGAATCAGAGCTGGAAGGAATGAATGTTAGAGGCAGTGTGGGTTTTTCTTTTGAATTACTGGTTTTCCCCCTGCCCCCAACATATAATTTAAGGCCTTCCTACTAAATTAAACCCAGTTCTTCCTATTTTGTACATTTTATTGAGAGTCCTTGTTTCTCCACACTAGTTAATCCACAAATGGAGCAGCAGTTTGTACCTGAAATGCATTATTTCATATTGGCAAATTTGTCTTCAAGTAACCAGATCTGGATACAATAGGAAATGTACTCTATTGGTGATTTCCTGGGTTATTTATAATATAGATTAGAAAGTTATTATCATCAAATGTTAGAAAAAGTTATTTTGATAGATAGTATAGAGACATATCAGTTTTTTCTTTAAAATATGGAAGACTCATCGTTTCAAGTATTTCTACTACAAATGAGAATCCCTTAATTATCTTCTGAATAGCAATTGGCTAACCTTCCTCCATATGAAGATGATTTGCATTTATTTTGAAGTTCCTTGTAGTTTCCTAACAAGTATTTAGTTGTGATTTAAATTTAGGGAATTTTGCTATTGAGGCAAAGAAATTTGATTATTGAACTTTGCAATTAATTTAATTTTGTTTAGTACTCTTAGAGAACTTCTTGAAAGACATTTCATATTAATCAGAAATGTATTGATAGCTATAAGAAAATAAATGCAAATTAAATATAGAAGTGAAATCAATACTTTTAGAATTTCAGTTTCCCCCAGAATTTACATATATTAATTTAAAAAGCTGCAAAATATTGAAATTATTTAAATTGTATTATTATTATTTAATTTGATATTTTTTTTGCTCCTGGAAATGGAATTATTTTTCCTGTGGTCCTATCACATTTACATTAGAATGTTAAAACATCTCATGGGTGTATCTGCTGGGGATTGAACCCATGGCTTCATACATGTCAAGCATGAACTCTACCATTGAGCTATTCCCCTAGAGCATTTGCTGTTTTTTCAAATGCTGGATATAAGAAAAATTGCTAGTGTATGTTTAAGATTTTAGGGATTATATTGCAGACATCAATCAGTATAATATTTCATGTCAAGTAACAAAGTATAATTAACATATTCATTTGTAGATACCTCTGAATAATATATGAAGTTTACACCAATAAAAATAAAAAAAACAATAATACTGAATTAGTATTCTAATACTGTATACCCTTCTAATTTAGATATTATAGAAAGTACCTGAAATTTAATTTGTTCTTAATGAAACTGGATAAAAAATTTGATTTAATTCATACTACTTATGCATAAGAAAGATGAATGACTATTTATTGATTATATTTATGATTTGGTAAAACTGATAGGCATGTACTTGATCACATATAGTTATATTTCACAATTATATTTTCACACTAGAAATCTGAGCTCAACCAGTTCATTTGTTGATATTGCTAAATAAGACATAAAACTCAAATCAAATAAAACTTTAAAAGAAAATTCAAATTTAAAAATAAATTTAATAAAACATTTAATAAAATAAATATATTAAAAAACTTAAAATATAGTATTTAGTTAGGATCTTATTGTTTGCCAAAGGCAGTTTTATAAATATACAGATTACCCTTTTCTGATATAGATATTAGTGGTAATACTATACAGTATAAGTGATCAGTAAATAAATCAGTTTTTTAAATTGGAAATTTTTACTACATCATATATTCCTGATAAAGAATAATAATTTCATATCACATATATTATTAAAAATATCAATAAAATTTGAGCCAAAGAACAAATGAAATTCTGAATGGTTTGAATCAGAGTAAAAGGAAATAGAGTTGGTGATTCCATAAGTTTTTTTCTCTTTACCCTTTGAAAGTTGTATTATTCTGTTTTGCATTATTATAGTGAAGTTCTCGAGGCTGGGTAACTTTATAAAGAAAATAGGTTTATTTAGCTTTTAATTCTAGTCCAGAGTCAGGTCTTGCATCTGGTGATGACTGTCTTGTTGGGAGAGGCCCAGGGTGGTATGGGGTACCACCACATGGCAAGGGACAGGATGTAGTTGTATGGGTCTGTGTCTCTCTTCTGGTGTTATTTCATAAAGCCACCAGGATTCAATCATGGAGATTCTGCTACCCTGATGGTCTTATCTAAGCTTAACCACTTTCCAAAGGCTCCATCTCTAACTACCATAGTTATATTAGGTTTCCACCTTAATGCCTCAGTGGGGATTAAATTTCAACAATGAACCCTGTGGGAACATGCTCAAACTTTATCTAAACACAGCAAAAGTAAATACTGTATGGAAGTTTCAAAATTTTTATTTTATTTTCTTAGACATTAAGAAATTCTGACAATTGTCTTTAACAATAATTTGGGGAAGTCTGTATTGTGGTAGGATAAATTCTCCCTTTTAGATCCACATATATTTAGTTTGATTAGTTTCCTTGAGCACTGTTTGACCTTTTAAATGCTGAAATATTTCTATTTAAAAAAATTACTGGAATTGTTCAACATTGCAATAACCTGCCATAGTAATAGCTTTTGATTGTATTTAATTTTACAGTCTCATTTTTGTCATTTAATTATCATAACCCTTTGAGACTGGCAACAAGATATAATCTCTAAATTTTATATTAGCAATAGCTGAAGGAGAGATAGAGATTATTTTATTTGCTCGTAGTAACCAAGTAGTAGAAAGTTGGGACTTCAAGCCAGATCCTCTGGGTTTTAGCTGCTTTTGATATTCATAAGTGTTGATTGAATCATCATTACTGCACTATAGGTATTTATTTATCTCAAAATGGGAGACCTTATATAATAACTCTTGTGTGGAAGAGAAATGAGAAGAACCACGTGAATTGGATGGTCCTCAAGTTTCCTTCTGGTTTTCAGATTCTCTTTTTTAAAGGTGATTTTCTATAAGCATTTTTCACTTCTGAAGGATTTTATTTTTGCTTGAGACACGTACTAATAGTTACATAATGTTTTACTATTTATCAAGTGACTTGTGTAATTTAATATTCTTACTAGTCTTGAATAGTAGATATTCTACAATATCTTATACAGAAAAGAAAAAGTGAGACTAAATAAATTTTTCAACATTAGGTAGTTTACATAGCTGGGACTCAAATCTAAGCCTTCTAAGTTTAGAGCCTATAAAATAATACTGGGGTTTAAGAAAGCCATGCTAAGATAAAGTTTATTTCTTAATTCTCAGAAATCTTAATATTAGAAAAATAGACTCCTTGAAACCTTCTAAATATTTCTAGTAACATATTCATTGTTCCTTTATTATGATTTCATACATATAGCATCTAAGTCCAATGTTTAGGCCAGATTATTTGGATAGTGTTTTTACCATTTGCTAGTACCTTGTATTTTATCATGTGAATTTTTTCTTTGGAGCTACCAGAGTTCTAACCCAGCTTTTATTCAAACTTCCTTCAACTTTTCTGATTTGTATCTTATAGAGTCTGTATGAAAAAATAAAATTTAGTTTTTTTTACATTTACTTTCTCCATTGGTGATTTGTTATATCAGAAATAACTTTAGTATACAATGTAATTGTATATTATGTCTTTCTGTATTTATATGTGTGTGTGTCTAAGATTTTGCTTAGTGAATTTTTAGAATTTGCTTCTTAAAGCATTCAAACAAAAATACAGTATATGTTTAGGATTACTGCTGTTGAATGTTTTACACAAAGTTCAATGTAATGTATACTAATAATTATCAACCAATTCTTCATGAAATTGAGTATTTATTTCAAGATTTTTAAAGAACCAGGTGGGGATTGAGTACAAAATCCTATAGTTGATTATATTGTGTGTTGAAATTACGGCAGTGGTGGAACTGATCTCTCAAATGAATTTTCCTCTAGAAATCATTTCTTGTGCTTAGAGAAGAAAGGGGAATATTAAAGTGTGAACATCACACATTCAAAGTATGTTGTATGCCATGACTGAAAAGTTATTAATTTTTTTAAACCAGAGCTAGTACTGTATCTAATTTGTTGGGCCTTTTACCTACTTGTCTCTTTTTCTTTTATTTTTGTCTTAAATCACTTATTTCAGTTCTCTGTAGCATGATATATAAGTTCCATTAATGTATCTCAGAGGTATTATGGTAACTGTTTTTCTGTGCTAAATCTCAAATATGGGATATCTGGAAAGACCTTTTAAAAATAATGGAAGGAAGTATCATTTAAAAAAATTTTACTTAACTCATTTGGTTAATGAGATAGGATATATTATGCCCAAATTCTATTAAGTAGTTTCCTTGGGGCTGGGGACTTAGCTCAGTAATAGAGCACTTATCTAGCATGCACAAGGCCCTGGTTTGATCCCCAGCACTGAAAAATACCAAAACATAGTTTAATTGTGTGCACCACATATGTAGCAGTGATTGTTTTCTAGGTAAGTAAAATAGCATGTTGAATAGGCAAACTCTTAAACTCAACATTATGTTTTAGCACTTTGCATGGTGCTCAATATACTTTCATTAATATACTTTATTATACTTTCATTAATTATCTAATAATTATTCAATAAACTTTCATTAGTTATCTAATAAAATCTGTGTTGTTCAGCAGTATTTTCTTTTGTGCTCTTATTGTTATTTTTGTTCCTTCTTAGGGAAATAGTTCTCAAACTACTTCAGTATGAGGCATCAACAAATGTGGCAGACAACAAAGGTTATTTTCCTATTCATCTGGCTGCCTGGAAAGGAGATGTGGAAATTGTGAAGATTCTTATTCATCATGGACCATCACATTCCAGAGTCAATGAACAGGTGCACTTGTCATATGTTTGCTCATGCTGTAATTTACTCTAGAGTTTTGCAAAGGCAGTCATATTGAAAAAATGATATTTTTATCTTTACTCAGCCAAAACTTTCCACTGCTGCATTTCCTACAGGAGAAATTTGAAAAATTCTTTGGCATTTGGATGCATAGGCACTAAGTTGGGCATTTATGAATATATTTTGTTAACAAGAATATCCCACATAAAGGAAGTAGTTGCCTGCCTTATATAATCATTCATTTTATAGCTGTTGAATATTTAAAGATAGATCAGCATTCACATATGTAATGAGAATTAGAGTGTTCCTTAATAAAATCTTAAATGCTGAAACAATGATGATAGCTATCATTTGCATAGTGCTTTACCATTTACATAACATTTTCATAGTTACGTACACTATTTGAAAATCAAAATGCAAAATTCAGTGTGTACAGTTGCTAGTCACATATTAAGTTAGAAATTTTCTGTATACACACACACACACACACACAAACACACACATATGCCTAGAGTAAGTTGAGCAGAATACCACAAAGCAGCAGTATGATTCTGACAAGTAAAATCATTATTTGTGAGAGAATACTATCTATACACATAGTGTACATTTTTTAAAAGTAATACCATTCTAAGTATTAAAATAGCTAATACCATAGATTTCAGAAAGTGAAATATGGTCTCCTAATACGGTGTGATAACAAACATCTTGAGCACTGCATGCCCCCTACTGTTCCTGTTTTGTAAAACTATATTTGAAAACCAGCATGTAGTCTAACAATTGAATTACAACCATGGCATTAAGCTGAAGGTTGGCAGCTGTCCAACATCAATGCAAGTAGGTTACTCTAGGGCAGGCACATCTAATAAAGTACAATTAACATTTTGTTCAAATGGATATAGACTTTGCAGACCTTTAACTGAAATTCTTACTAAAAAATAAAAATATAATACTAGCTATAAACAGTAAGGAGAAGAAAAATTATATTTTCTCAACCAAATGCAGTGTTGAAAGGACTAGTCAGGAAAAAAACTACAGATATGGCTATCTTAATCATCATATCATGCCAAAAGGAATTTATGAGAATTCTATTCCTGAGAAAACCAAAAGTTAGATCATTTCTGGGATGAGCCATCTGGTGGTTATTCTTAAAATTGTCTGAATGACGCAGAGCAAACTTAAAATAATAAAATGGAAAAACAATCGAAGGTTAAATAAGAGGATGTTAGTTAAAAAAAAACAAGATGTTTAAAATCACATTAAATAAAAAAGCACATATTATTCATTTACATTTGAAGGTTGAAAATTTAAACAACATTTGGTAACTATTGGTATGTTTTAACGAGAAACACTTGTTTTGGGCAGGTAATATTGAATAGATCAATTCAATCATAACATATTTCTTTTTAAGGAGATTATAATTCAAAGTTATTTTTTTAGCTTCTGTTCCTATATGTTAACTTCTATTCCTATATGTTGTAGACACTGTTGGCAACAAATTCAAATTTTTTGAGTTTTTTTTTTTTTTGGTGTGTGTGTGTGTGTGTATGTGTGTGTGTCTATAATGCTGATATAGTTCTCCCACTCCATGCTGTTTCTCCTAAAAGTTTCTGGTGTGGAATTTTATTTTTATAAGTAACTTGATTTTAGCTTTATTCCTTTTTTCCCCTTCTGAATGGTATAGTAATGTTCTAGCTAATTATAAACCTTTTTGAATTTAAGCAACAGAAGGAAGGAATGAGAATGCCAATCAACATTTATTGAAACATAAGCCAAGCATGGTTCTAAGCACTTTATCTGCAAAGTGTAATTTAATTAATTCTCACAAGAATCTTTTGGAGTGGTATTATCATCCCCATTTTATAGATGAGCAATCAGGCTTTGTAAAGATAAATAACTTGTTTAAGACCTCCTATTATTGAATGACCAAAACTGAGACTTGAACTCTGGACAGAGTCCAGAACTCCAGGGCCTTTCACAATAGCACATTGAAGTTGTCATCCTATATCCTATTAGTTATGGAGTGTTTACTATATGCCAAGCATTGTGCAAAGTACTTCATCCATATTACCCTCCTGATGAGGTAAGAATTAATTATCATTCCTACTCTATATATGGAGATAGAGTTTTAAAGAGATGGAGTAACTTACCCATAGTATCTTAGATGCCAAGAAATGAAATCAGTATTTTCATTTTGTTTTCTTGTACCAGGGATTGAACCCAAGGGTGCCTAACCACTGAGCCTCATCCCCAGACCTTCTTACATTTTTATTTTGAGACAGGGTCTCCTTAAGTTGTTTAGGGCCTTGCTAAGATGCTGAGACTAGCTTGAATTTACAATCCTTCTGCCTCAGCCTACATAGTCCATGGGATTATGGGCGTGGGCCATCACACCTGCCTACAGTCAGTATTTTTTTTTTTTGTAGTTTTAGATGGACATAATGCCTTTATTTTATTTGTTTATTTTTATATGGTGCTGAAGATTGAACCCAGTGCCTTGTGCATGCTAGGCAAGTGCTCTGCCACTGAGCTACAGTCAGTATTTTAACACAGCTTTTCTGATTCAAAGTCCAAACTCTTAACCAGTAATGTATTATGATACTGAAATTACTAATCATAGGGGTTCATTCTGATTTCTGGGATTTATCTTTGGTTTCTAATCCAGTAGATTCCTTTACCATGGGGGATACATTCTTAGACCCTAGTGATTGCTTGAAACCATAATACCAAACTGTTTTTTTTCTCTAGCATGCCCTACACATTGCCACATAGTACCAGAATTCATCTGTCCTTTCATATTTTGTATCTGGGTGTCTCCTTTGCAACACTTACTAAGTAAATAGGGCTTCTTGAACACAAGCTTTGTGTTACCATGACAGTTAATCTGATGACTGAGATGTCTGCTAGGTGAGGCTAGGTAGCAGATAGAATATAGATACAATGTACAAAGGGATGATTCACCTCTTGAGAGGGATGGAGTGGAATGGCTCAAGATTTTACCACAATACTCAGAAAAGTGTGCAATTATAAACTTATGAATTGTTTATTTCTGCAATTTTCTATGTAAAGTTTTCAAATGCTGGTTGACTGCAAGTAACTGAAACTGCAGATGACAATCATGGGTGGGGTTGGGGACCACTGTACAGCTTCCTTTAAAAATGGTTCTATCTCACATTTTAATATTTTAGTTTACAAAGCATTCCTTATGTTATATCTTTTGGTTAATAAACCACACAGCAAATTTCATAGAGAAGGTAATATTTTTATTGTACAAATAAGATAGTTAGGTTTGGATAGATCAAGTGATTTATTGTTGCTAATGAGTGACATATTAGCATTTCAATATAGGTCCTGTTCACCCTTCTGTTCTGCATTAGAATTACTGGTTAATTTAGAGGAACATAATTTTGAATAAAGTGGGCTCTTCCCTGATTGTATCACATCCTTCCTATCTTTTGTCAATTGATTTCTAATATCATTGCTTTCTTCTTATGTTATACATGTTCTGTGTACATTCCTCTTAATACTCCTTTCACCTTTGCTTTTCCTTTTGTATTCCTTTATTTTGACATTGGGGCAAAAGCTAGAGGATTCTTAATTCAAAAATACATTACTTTTGGCATTTATTGAAACCTGAACTCAAATTGTGTTAGATTTTGGGCATGGGTAAGCAAGATCTTTTGGTAAATAGCTTTTTTCAGCCAGTTTGATTCTGCTACTCATTGTCTGAAAGTGTCCTAATTTTTCAGTGAACATCTAATTCATTATAAAAATTTCAAAACCTGTTAAGAATATTCTCTGTAGATATACTAGCAATTATTAATCAGTGCTTCATCACAGCTTATTTATTTCAAATTAGATGGTTTTTAAAAGACCACTAGTGAGTATAGACACAAGTATTATACAATCATGCCTTTGTAAAGATACCATAGTTGTGGTCACCACTTATGTAGCAATCCAAGTATGTGTTGATCATGGATAAAAATCTATGAAATTTTCTCCTGAATAAGTCTTAAATGATTGAATAATTTCTCTTGAGACTTGAACAGTGTTAATTGGTGTTATTAGAAAAATTTTCAATTTTGCTCTTTTGTTTTCCTAGGCTAAGGCCTCTGGAAAAGTAGAAATCTTTCAGAATTCTTACTTCATAATAGGTCTTTCTGGAGCTGGAGTTGTCACTCAGTGGTAGAGCACTTGCCTAGCACATGCAAGGCACTGGGTTTGATTCTCAGCACTATATAAAAAAGTAAATAAAATAAAGGTATTTTGTTCATCCACAACTAAAAAAATTATCTTTCTCTGTTCTCAAAGAGGTAATGTAATTGGTAAAATGAGATTCAACCTCTTTCAGAACAAGGGGAAATTGGATTGGTCAGGAGGCATATATCTGTTTTATATTTTTATGTTATAAAGTAATTAGCTTTATTTTCTTGTCAGATTTACAAAACTTAGCTAGATTAAAACAAATCAAGGAGTTTAAACTTGTATGTTGTTAGTCTCTGTGAGGAAGTATGTTATTATAATAACACATTCAAACCAACGTAAGAATGATTCCCCACAAATGCTAGAAGAAAGATCTTCAGCCGGATTCCCATCTATCAGATCTTAGCTTTTCATTCACTAACTCTAGGGAGCTGTTTATTCCCCCTGTGGATTTAACTTTCAAATGCCCTCTTTAGATACTAGAAACAGAGTAGTAAGAAGCCTTTCTTAGTATTTCTGCCCCCTCCCCGTACCACTCTTCTTAAGTTTTCAAATCTTCCCTCTAAACTCTCAATTTACTTTCTATATTCTTCTATCATCCAGAACAAGCCTGAGTATCTTTCTGGAACAATAAGTTGTGTTTAGTTTGAACCTTCACTGTTCTTTCATTTTGATAGTAACAGCTGTCTAAACAGGCACTTCCTACTAAGTTGGTATTTTTTGAGACAAAATCTGTAGAAATTTTGCTTTCAGATCACTAAATTCTAGCACCACTTCTTCTGTGACATCATAGCAATATATAAACCAGCAGTATGGAATAGTGGAAAGAGCATGGGTTTTGGATTTTGACAGATGGAAGTGCCCAAAGATCTTGATTCTGTCTTTGACTTGTAATGTAAACTTTTTGAATTTTAGTTTCCTCATTCATGCAATAGAGTTATTAATACCAGTCTTGTAAGACTGCTGTAAGAGTTAAGTGAGACAATATACATAAAGTTTCTAGACACTTAGCAAATGGGAGTGGTGATAGTTGTTAATGAGGAAGGTGGTGTGTGTGATGGTTAAAAGCTCTATTAGGTCTGGGCTACTTGATTCAAGCCTCTTTCTATCACTAAATGGATGTATAAACAATGTCCCATTATTCAATGACTCAGTACCTTATTTTCTTCATTTTTAACATGAGAATAACGGTAATAGCAGTGTCTATTTCATAATAAGTATTAAGTGACTAAACATGAAATGCAACTGTTTCTGGTACCTAGTGTTAGCTATAATGATGGCTCTGATGAAGGCAGCTGCTCTTTCTGTCAATGATCATTTAGGATCATTCATTTTTGTGATTATAGTTTCTTGTTCATATTTTTCCTGAATGACCAACCCTTCCACCTTTGGACATACCCAGATCCCTTCTACTATGTTATCTGCCCAAATGGTCTGAAGGGTTGATCTGCCTTGCATCTGGGTTTAGTGTTTTTATCTTATCTTGCTAAATTTCTAGGAAAATCTCATTGATAGCAACAGAAACATTTATAAGTTGCATAGTAGTACTGTGATACTCCTGATAACTTGACTGCGCGTGGGTCTAGATCTGCCTCTTTTCTGTAATTATGTTTCAGAAAGATAATATATTTTAGGGCCAGAGTGTCTTCATTCCTTTTTCATAAGAGGCAGTGATTTGTAATGTGGAAAATAAAATGAAACTTATTTTGGGAAACATTTCTATGAATCTTTCATAATCAAGAATTTACCATCTTAACTGTGTTTTGGAAAACCAGTCTATTACACATGTGTCATAATTGTTATATTAATCTCTTTTAACAAATGTCAAGGATGTGTGATGCATGGTGTAGAGAGAGAACAATGGCTATCTGGGCCCAGCAGGGCCAAGCTACTGACCAACATGGCTAAATCATTTATCATTCTTGGAAATTACAAGACGTGATGCAGGGAAAGGTTTGATATTTTTGTATTAAAGTGATATGAAACATTTTTATGTAATAAATTATGTATACTTCTGTTAAATATAAAATTCAGTTAGATTTACTTAGTAAAATAGGTTAATCTAGGGCTGAGGATGTAGCTTAGTGGTATAGTGCTTGCCTAGCATGCACATCAGTAAATCAATCAATCAGTAAGACTAGTCTTAAATATACATTTTCAAAGTATCTTAGGTTTTAAATTGTGTGTTTAGATCTTAATAACTAATTGGATTTTTGGAAATGTGTCTTTTGTATCTTTGCTCCAACCAGAACAATGAAAATGAAACTGCCCTACACTGTGCAGCTCAGTATGGACACTCAGAAGTAGTTGCTGTCCTCCTAGAAGAGCTCACTGACCCTACGATTAGGAACAGCAAGCTTGAAACACCACTGGACCTGGCAGCACTCTATGGACGACTTAGAGTAGTCAAAATGATCATCAGTGCACATCCTAATTTAATGAGCTGCAACACTCGAAAGCATACACCGCTTCATCTTGCTGCTCGCAACGGTCACAAAGCAGTTGTACAGGTGCTGTTGGAGGCAGGAATGGATGTGAGCTGTCAAGTGAGTCTTCTTTTGGCTGTGCTTTAAAGGTGATGCTGCACCACATGCTTTTGGGAAATATGACGATATAAAGCATAGTCTCTAACTTCATGCTAATTGGAGAGCTGTAAACGTGAAAATTTATTACTGGATAGCAGTTGTGTGTAGTATAATTAGTAATTGTTTCCTTTTTTTTACTGTATAGCATATTAAAAATTCAGTCAAAGTGCAATTAATGAAAAAAATTGTACTTTTAACATTTTTGAGTACACACTTTTGTTTAGCATGTTGACATATTTAGAATTGAATTGAATTGAATTGCGTTCTTACAGCTATCCTGTGACATTGGAAATCTATTAATTGCCAGTTAAGAGATTAGGAATCAGAGTCAAAAATTTTAGACACTTGCCTGAGGACACATAGCTGAAAAACCAGGATTTTTTCTTTCTTTTGTTTTTGGTACTAGTGATTGAACCCAGGAGTGCTTTACCATGAGAAAGACCCTAGCCTTTTTAAAATTTTTATTTTGAAGCAGAGTCTTACTAAGTTGCTTAGGGCCTTGCTGAGTTGTTGATGTTGGCTTTGAACTCACAATCCTCCTGCAGCCTTCCGAGCTGCTGGGATTATAGGCAACCACCACTATATCTGGCTAAAACCAGAATTTGAATTTAGACTTGCTGATTAAAGCTCAGCCTTCTTTCAAATATAATTTACCATTTATACATAAACAACAAAGGCAGGATTACTATGCCTATGGAGAGCCGGAAAAGAAAATAATTGAAGAAATGTGATTTGGGTTGAGCTTTGAAGGAAAAATAATGTTTTGATAGGTTTTCTGTGTTCACTAGGAAAGGGCAGCCTAATTTTATTATCTATCTTATGTTAGCCCCAGTGTCAAGGTTAGTCAGTTATTCTTTCTTTCTCTGTCTTTTCCTTCCCACTTTCCTTCTTTCTTTCTAACATTTTTTTGCTTTTATGATAGCTTCTTGGCTTCCAAGTTTGTGGAAACATTCTAAGTTTCCAAAGACCATTTTGGTTCCTGTCAGTTGGCCTTCTCCTCTGTATATTACAAGTTATTGCTGCATTATGCACTATCCCAAATGTAATGTTTTAACACATTAACAATATATAGCTCATAATTCTGGGCTTGGCAATTTAGTTAACTTCAACTATGTATCTCTGGATTCTCTTATGTATATTGGCTGGATTCTCTTATGTGTGCTGGATCCTTTGTGAGTCGGGTAAGTACCTCTATTGAGAGGTTGACTGGATATTGTCTGGGTGAAATTACCTTACATCTATTAAGATCCCTTAGGTCAGCTTGGCCTCATTTACATGACAGTCATGTAGTTCTGAGAGAGAGAGAGAGAACACCATTGTACAAGGTTTCTTGAGGCCTAGACTTGGACCAAGCGCACCATCACTTCTGCCACATTTGAGTGGCAAAAGCAAGTCTTAAAGGCCATTCCAATTCAAGAAGTATAAAAATAGATTTTACCTTTATATTAGAAGAGGGTGTGAATTGTAAAAAGGGTATGAATTCCTACAAGGAATACATGTGGCTAGTTTTGTAAACACTCCACATACTTAGGTGAAATTATAATGCTGTGTTGTGGGTTTAGTTTTCCAAGGAACTTTTTAGCAGTTGAATCCTGTGTCTTCAGAGTTTTCTTTAGTGAATTTCTGAAAATATTAGGCCTTCAATTTAAAGTTTAAGGCTGCCATCCTAGGTCAGTTTCCTTTGGAGAATTGTCTACATTATTTAGTTATTTGATATTTGTGATATCTTTTCTCTATTTGTTATTTATTCAACTTCGGCAGCCTTGCAAATAAGTAAGCACAACAATTTCCCTAGCCCTCATATTAAGGAAACAAAAAAATCTTTCTTCAAAGCAGTATTGAAATTAGATACACGATTTCTTTTGTAGGTGACTCACAAAGGTACTTTCTTAATGGTTGTTCAGTAATAAAAGCAAATGTTTATTGTCTAAGTATTATATTTCTCTAGTCTGGATTTACTGCTTTCATAATACTTTTGGGATATTTCTAAACTTGGATGCACAGATAGCTTTATAACCAAAGATTTTCATTATGACTGAGTCAGTAAGCCTTCAGTGTCTATGGCCAAGATCTTTTCATGTTTTGAACTAGATGACATGATCAGAAGGAAAAAGTTTAAATTTGATTTTATAAATATATATGGCTCATCTTTTTTCATGTAAAACATTATGTTTTGTGTTTTGGAGAATTAAAGTTTAAAAAAAATTCTGTGCCAAATTTAGTGGGTGAGACAAAAAATTTGCAACAATTACCCCCATATACAACATTTAATAAATACCAAAACAGAGAGCTATGGAGATATAGGTGAAGAAAATACAGACTTTAAGAAGAAGAATATGGGAAGACATTGATGGAAGTGATATTTTAAGAGGACCTTGAAACTCTAATAGTTGAATTTTGGTGTAATTTAACTCTCATATATATATTATTTTGCTAAAGAGTGTGTTAAAATATTGAATTTGAATGCTTTTAGATGAAGCATATAATTTCCAAGGTCCCAATCTCTTTCTACTCTTTTATATCTGTATATCATTTCTTTAGATTTTTTTACTTGTTCCCTGACAGCATTTGAGTTTGTTACCCATACATCAGAGGAAAGGGACATAATATATTCTGATCACTGTGGCTTCCTGCTCAGAAGCATCAGTACCTTGGTAGGAAGGGCAACCTTTTATGCTGCTAAAATAGATTTTATTTACTTTCACTTTGCAAAGAATTCTAGGAAGAATTGATAATGTATTTAAAAATACATCTCAATGAGGTGAATTTCTCATCAGCTGTAGTTAGACTTGGTTATGTTTTGTGTTTGTTATTGTTCCTTTGTTCATAGGAAGTGTTTTTGGGATAGGACCCAATGCCTTTTTTTGAATGAATATTTAATTTTATTACTCAAATTAACTGTTGACAAATTTTCCCTATCAGATTGTGCAGAAATTTTTTAATATCATATAGTTGTTTGTTGATATTCTCACTGGTTAAGAGGGAGTAATACCAGCTAGTAATCTTAAACTGTTTTAATATTCATTAAATTGTTCTAGTTAACCAGTTGGATATTAGCAGTGTCAAAAGTAATCCCACTTGGTAAATTATAATAATGTACTTTCATTCTTCAATTATGTTCAGTTTATTATGAATAAATTCTAAAAATTTTTGGATGACTTTGGAAGATCTCATCTTTTCCTTATAATAACATATTTTAAGTGTGGCATTTGTGTTTGTATTTTCTCTTGAATTTTTGTTTTCTACATCATTTCCCAAATTGTTACATGTATTTGAACTAGTAGACAAAATAATTTAATTGCTATTTAGGTGAATTTCATAAAGATTGTATATCCCTTATCTAAAATACTTTGGACCAGAGGTATTTCAGATTTTGGATCTTTTTTTTCACTTTGGAAGAATTGAATTTTCATAATGAGATACTATTGAGTTATTATCTAAGCCTGAGATTCATTTATGTTTCATATACACCTTATACATATGGCTTGAAGGTAATTTTATATATTTTAAGGGCATCTGCATTTTTTTAATAATTAGCACATATTAATTACACAAAATAATGGGCTTCTTTGTAACATTTTCATACATGCATGTAACATATTTTGATGGTATCTACCTACACCTGCATTTTGATTGTGACTTGTGACATGAGGTCAGGTGTGGAATTTTCTACTTGTGGCATCATGTCAGCCCTTGAAAAGTTCAAGATTTGGAGCATTTCATATTTTGGTTTTTCAGATTAGTGATACTCAACCTGTTTTATATTATTATATTTACTTATGAACCCTAAATCTTAAAAGATTTCTTAATAAAGAAAATTAGATAAAGAAAATGTGGTATATATACTCAATGGATTTTTTTTTCAGCAATAAAGAAAAATGAAATTACGTCATTTGCTGGTAAATGGTTGGGACTGGAGAAGATCATGCTAAGTGAAATAAGCCAGACACAGAAAAGTCAAGAGTTGAATGTTTTCTCTCATATGCAGAAGCTGGAGAGAAAAGAGGATTTTTAAAAAAAAAAAATGGAGATCTAATGAAAAGAGAAAACAGTTGAGTAGAAGGAGAAGATTAGGGGGAGGGAGGAGATATGGAAAAGGAGAGAAACTATGGAATTAAATTGATCAAGTTATGCTATATACATGTATGAATATATCATAATAAATTTCACATATATGTATAACTATAATGCACTCATTAAAAACAAATCAATGGAAGGAAGATCAAGTAGAGGAGAAGAAGGGGATCAAGAAGAAGGAGGAGAAAAGGGAAGGGGGAAAGTATGGGGATTGAAATGGAGTAAATTATGTTACATATATTTATGAATATGTCAAGATGAACCCCTCAATTGTGTATAACTATAATGCACTAATAAAGATCACTTAAAAAGAAAATCAGTAGGCTTGAATTGACAATTTTCTTTTAAAGTTAGCAATTATTTTTATGGATTTTGAAGTCAGTATTCGCTGTAGCATACAGAACAAGACACTCAGTAATGCCAGTTTTTTCAAATGTTCCTACTTATAATGTGAGTGCTCACATTTTTCCCCAAGTAATTTTCCAAATTATTTAATTCATTTTTTTCACTAAAACCTAAAATACAAACAAATTCTATTGAAATTATCATGATTGTACAACCTATCAGTTAAAAATTTTTCCTGAGTCTAGCTAACTCAGAAGCACTTAAGATAGAACTGATTTTTAACTGGGTCTGCTCCTATTTACTCATTGCCTTTAAGATCCTTTAAAGACAACCATGTTAACAATGAATTAACCTCACAGTTTGTGCTGACCAATTTCTATGTAACACCATTTTGGAAAGCTAAAAATTTAACTCAGATTGCTGAAATTTAGTTAGATATGATTTTCCATAAAACAACATATTTAGAAAGGCTTGTTTTTATATCAAATTCCTTTTCTCCATTATCTTGTGACGCCATCCCAACTCCTTCACTTTATTAA